GATTTCTAGATGTCTGAAATGTTTGCAACTGCCATTGTCTCAGCTGGGAGCTGTAGCTTCTTAGCATAGCTGGCTAGGGACAGACACTACACATAAACCAGTTTAAGTGATCAGAAACTGGTTTAAACCTGTAACAGAACAGACATTCAGGCTAGGGACAGACATTCAAAAAGCCTGAGCCTGAATTGATTCAACCTTTGCAGGTTAGTCTAACGTGGCCAGGATGAATCGGTTTCCAGCCATACAGACAGTCTCTCTGGCTTGATGAAATTAAGGCACATGCCTGCAGTGGCTCAGGCTAGAAGCTGGGGGGAGCTAGAGCAGCCCTGCTTTCCCTTCCAGTGCTGAGGAGAGGGGAGCTTGGCCAGGCCCTAGCAGAAGGCTCTGATTAGGGAGAGGTGTAAACCCCCACCCTGTCTGCAGCATCACAGGCTTTTCCCTGCTTGCTGCTCAAGGGGAGAGAGTGTTGCCAGCCTGCAGCCCTGGGCTAGCACTCTGAGGCAAGTGAGGGGGAGCGGGGGGGGGTGCAGCACATGCATCTGTTGATGATATGGAGCTTTTCACTCTCCCTCCCTGCTTCTGTATACTGTCTGCAGCAAACTGACAGGCAAGCAAGCCGGGGGGAGGGGGGAGACTGATAACAGTGATTATCACCCATATCTCCATGTTTATTGGCCCATTAAGAAAAAAACAGAGTGACATTACCAGCTACCTGTTGATTCAGCACAGACCCAGCATGTGGTCTGCTGGCTAATACACAGACACCTTCTTAGCAAGGCAGAGGGAAGGGGAGAATTTATGCTTAGCAGAGAGTGGTGGTGGAGGGGAGCAAACAGCTCTTCTTGCCAAATCAATTAACTCTGATACTACCTCCAACCAGGTTTATCTCAAACTAGTTTCAGCCATTTTCAAACTGGTTTATATGCACTGAACATCTGTTCTGTTACAGGTTTAAACCAGTTTCAGATCACTTAAACCAGTTTATGTGTAATGTCTGTCCCTAAGGTCAGTGCACATAAACAAGTTTCAAAATGGCTGAAACCGGTTTAGGATAAACTTAGTTGAATGTAGTATCAGATGCAACTGATTTGGCTCAAACCAGTTTATGCAATGTCTGTCCCAGACCCCTTCCTAGTTTAACTTAAACCAGAGTCCCCCAGCATCCTGGCATGCTCTCTGGGCTGGGCTCTCTGCTTCAGCCCAGCTGGGCTGGGCCTGCCTCTCTGCTTCCCAGTCCAAGCAGGGACAGGCAGGGGTAGGGGTCTGGCCAGGCAGGGGTTTAATTCCCCCCTCGCTGTCCCACTGGCAGGGACCCAAGCCAGGTCTGCAGGACACTCTCCCCTCACTGCAGCAGCAGTGGGGACCATAGGTCCTGAGGTAGAGGGGGGCAAGGAGAGGGGTTAGCCTCTTAGGGGGTGTGGCTGCACCAGGGTCTGGAGCCTCACCTCCAGCGCTGCCCCTGCCACCGCTGGAGCCCGCAGCGCTTTCCACTTTTCCCCAGCACTGAGCAGCAGTTTTTCTACCATACTGCCACTGCTCAGCCTGGACAGGCAAGTGTGGAGCCAGCACGGGGTGCACAGGGTCAGGGCTGTGCACGCTGGTCCCTGCCTGTACTGTGGGGCTGGGGCCAGTGGCAGCAGCAAAGGAGCTGCTGTGGCCGGGCTGCCTAGAAGGGCAGTCCCACTGCAGAGCAGACCCAGCCCAGCTGTGTGCCTATGGTGTGGCGTCTCAGCCAGGCAGGACCGAGGGATCCACTGGGGACCAGACAAAGCTCCTCCATGGGCCAAATCGGCCCAGGCAATAACGTCTGGCCATAACTCCACCTGGCCGCTGGAACAGCAAGGGGGCAGTTTTGCCAAGTGTGAGCCTCTTCCCATTAGGAGGCCATGCTGTATAGCAAGGAAAGCTGCTGCAGGCCATGGCAGAAGCAGTGGCAACACTGCGGGGGCTCTGGACCCTGATGCTGCCCCGCACAGCCCACCGCAGCTCTGCCCGCTTCTCATTGGGGTCCCCCCCCCCCGGAAGGGATTCATGCTCCCTGACATTATGACAGGGTCTGCTGCCCGCACCAACGGTCCTGCCTCCTCCTGCTTCAGTGACTGGGTGGAGGCGTGGCCAGATGCTGGCCCAAAGGGCCCCTTGGCGGGGCAGGGACAGGGGTTATTTCCCTTCCCTCTGGCATCTGGAGGAGGGTCCAGCAGGGGCCTTATTCCCCTGCAGGGAGCGAGTGCAGTGGCAGCGGTGGGCAGACCCGGCTGCCAGTGGGGTAGAGGGGAGACTAACCTCCCCCCCATGCCCACCTCTGCCTCAGGTACCATGGTGCCCCATTGCTGCCGCAGCAAGGGGGGAGCACCTAGCAGACCCGGCTCCGGTCCCTGCCAGTGGGACAGCGAGGGGAAAATTAAACCCCTCTCTAGCCATGCCCCCCCAGCACAGCTTCCCTGCAGCCAAAGGCCACTCTAGCACCCCTGGCGCCTGGAGACTGCAGACACGTGCTTGCATGTCTGTTCTTTTTCAAACCAGTTCAACCTAGGCAAGTTAGACTAACCTGCAAAGGTCGAATCAATTCAGGCTCTGGCTTTTTGAATGTCTGCCCCTAGCCTCTTAAGACAGGCTGGTTTGTTTTATGTGCCAAATATGAAATCAGATTCCCAAACTTCGGCGCCCATGTTTGAAGGCATGCAGCTTGGTATACAATTTGTGAGTTGTATTAGTGCCATGCAGATGTTCTTAGGCTATACTTTACTAGTATTCCTGGAATGGGCTTGTCCAACGTGGCCAGTGACCGAACGCTTGACTTCAGTGGAAGCAAATTAGGCCAACACAGGCACAATATGAAATTTCCACCCTGACAAAGCAGCTCCTGGTTTTAGGGGAGGCGCTTTGTAGGAGAGGCATTTATAATGGATTCGCAAGTTCTTTCAAATTCTCTTGCAATTTGGAGAAAAGACAAAACATCGAAGTTTAGATATCCTTTCAATTGACATGACAAGTGTAATAGATGTGTTCCAAAATCTGCTTTGTGGCAGGGCTACGTGCCTTCCTCAGATTCTGTCTGTAGGAGGAAATTACTTTGAGAAACCTTTCCCCAGTCAATCATTTATCTGTTCTATCAGGTTAGAAGGCAGCCGTAGAGAAATAAGTGAAATTCACCCCTTTTCATTTCTATTAGTGTTCCATGACATTTTGAAAGTAGAGCTGATAAATAATTGCAAGGTGAATTACAGGTTGGTCATATTTACAAATTGATTTTTGTTTTTAGATATCTGGTGATTTAAGGGAAGTAATTTCCACGCTGTCTTGGCTACAAAACGGTTGTCTTCATATCCTTCCTATATTTTCCCCCAGACTGAATTCTTCTATAGCTCTTGCCTAGAAAGAGAATTGCTGAGGCAGCAAGCTAAGGAGCATGGCACTGACCATGGCAGATCAGACGCTTGGTTAATGAGGGCCAATGTGGTGCCTTTGGCAGCGTCCAATAGCTGCTGCTTCAGAGGAAACGTGCCCTTTATCTTAGAGAAGCATACACAATTTTATATGATGAGCTGAGAGGGCATAGGCATCCTTGTTGTCTACACCTTACACCCTGAAGCATGACATCTGATTAATCTTATTTTAACGTGCCCAGTTACAGATATTATTAATGGTCAGAAAGCTATCTGTATGGGTCTCAAATGACTGCCTGTTGTCACAGATTCTCCGGGTTGATTATACGCTCTGTAAAAGGAAGGTGTTCACCTCTGCTTTACTCAAAATACCACAAGTCTTACTGTTCTAGCAAGAGCTGGAGGGATGCTGCAATGTCTCTGGGCCAGATCGGGTTCATCAGTGTTTCTCTGCTCCCTCTCCAACATGTTATAGTCGGACAGATCTTCCAGTATGGGGGACGTGTGTGTGTGTGTGTGTGTGTACGTGTACTATTAAAAGTAGATCACTCCAGAATGAGTCAGGTTGGTTATATTTTATCCTGAAACACAGCTTGGGAACCGTGCTGAATTTGCTTATTTATCTTAGTGTGCTGCTATCTCCGAAGCCTCCTGATATCACTTTAAAAGCCAGATTTTCAAATGATTCCAAGGTACCTACAGTTCCCACAGCTGTTTGTGCAAATTAGGTATCCACGTGCACAAGTGGCCAATGGTTAGCAGTACGGAAATCGGCTGTGAGCGGTGGGTAATTTATACACCTAACCTAGCCTCTGGTCCTCTGCATAGAATTTTCCATTTTAAAAATGCTCAACATTCAAAGAGCTCCAATTCATTCATCATCTGCTCCTGTTTTATAGACAATGAGTTTCCTTTATGCTAGTAGCTCAGTATATGGCACTTTACACAGGACTAGTCTAAAAATCTTTTCACTCCAGAACTAAGCAATTAAAGGCTATTCAAATGAATTTGGGTCGGGGGTGAAGAGAGGCGAGGCTTGACCATCAGATTGGACGGAGAAAGCCCCAACAACTATGCTTTGTGGTTGAGAAATGGCAAGAGCTTGAGAGA